ACGAGGGGCAACCAGCTTTGGCCTGTTGTGCTCTGGTCCAGCCCGGAGGAGTGGGTCCGGGATAGTGCCGGATCGGGAGAGCACTGCACACAGACACCAGAACCTGTCAGATGTGTCCTCCTGCTTTCGCCGCGTCCCCAGCGCCCTCCTCACAGGTGTCACAGCCCTTCTCCTCGCAGGGCCCCCCTGTGACCCGTCCTTCCTGTCCCCACAGCGCGCTTCTTGGGGCAGATGAAGGCTGAGTGCCACTTCATCAACGGGCTGGAGCAGGTGCGGTTCCTGAACGGGTACATCTATAACCAGGAGGAGTTCGTGCGCTTCGACAGCGACGTGGGTGAATTCCAGGCGGTGACCGAGCTGGGGCGGCCCATCGAGGAGGAACTGAACAGCCAGAAGGACGTCCTGGACAATTACCGGGCCGGCGTGGACAGGTGCACAAATGACTACGAACTGATCAGGCTCCTGTCAAGGCGGCAAGGTGAGCAGGGCTGAGGGCAGCCAGGGCCGGGGAGGTCATGAGTGTGTGTGCGTGTGTGTGTGTGCACTCCTGAGTCACTGCTGACCTGGCTGAGATTTCTCTGAGATCAAAATTTCCTGCTATTGTTTTTTTATTTGCTTTCTTATTATGCATTTGTTAGAAACCTGAAGTGATGGACAAACTGGTTTTTGAATTATAATTTCTTTACTTAATATAGTATTACTATTTTTATGTCATGCTAACCCTACTTAAATTTGATGTGCTCCTTTGTGTAGTTAGGGCAATTTATTTCACATTTTCTTTTGTTGGATCTTTTCAGTACTGTCAAATATTCAGTTAAAACCTAAAAATTGCCAATAAACTCAATGAGAAAAAAACCAAATATTCAGTTAAAATTTTGTTTTGTGTATGTTTAATTTCTTGGTTTGGGTCTTCTTATTTTTTAATTTTAATTTTTATTGATTCTTTGGTTAATTTCTATTTCTTTCATTTCTAAGTCTCTTGGACATTTTTCACACTTTGCCCAATTGTCACTACTCTAAGAATTGTCTAATGTCTATTATCTCTGGTGTCCTTGTGATTTTCTATGCTTTAGGGGGTCTCTATGAAGTAAAAATATAATACATTGGTGATATTTGCATCAGTATTTCCTTCACTTTGTGGTTTATAGTTTGATTCTTTTTGTTACTATGTTAATAATTTAAATTTTTATTTAAAGAAAATTTCTGCAAAATTGTCAGTATTAACCAATCAATATTAAATGTACCATTTTTTTTGGTATTTTTTAAGAAAATATTTGCCCCAGGTTTATCCTGTTTAAAAATATGCATTGATTGAGGTTGGATCAAGATTAGGCTGAGGCATTAAGTACACATTCGAGACTTGACCGAGCTTCA